ACAATGGCATAGTATTCAGCCATAAAGAAGAATGAAACCCTGTCATTTGCAGGATAATGGATGGAACTTGAGACCATGATACCAAGTGAAATAAGTTAGACTCAGAAAGTTAAATATGGTATGTTTCTTTTTTAGGAGAAACCTAAAATATAAATAAGTAAATAAAATAAAGGAAAGGTGATGCAAACTAGATAGTTGGCTTTGAAGATGGGGAAGATAAGGGGGAAGAGAGCAAAAAGAAAAAAGGAATTGAAAATGATCAAGATATATTAAATGCATGAATCAATACCCCAAACAAACATCACTATTCTTTAAGTGTAAACACAGATATAATGTTTAAAAAGAATTATGTTTATAGTATTCCCTCTGAGAACTGGCTGCATATCATCTTTGACCTCTTATGTATTTCTGCTCAAAATCACATGAGTATATCTTCAACACATGTGTCATATTATGTCCAAATTGTCCTTTTATTTGGAGAGACTGAATAGTACAGTAGTTAAAAATCTTCAGGCTTTGCAGTTCAGTCTTAGAGCCAGGCCATCTGACTCATTTTCTAGTTGTGCATCTTTGCTTACCCTCCCCAAGCTTCAGAATCCTCATTTCTACAATAAAGGTGATGATATTTTTTACCTCACAGAACTCATAAACCAACTGAGTGAGTGACATTAGAGTTGCACCAGGTACACAGGAAAAGTTCAGTGAATGATGATGCATTGCTGTTATTATTTTTATTATTGTGCCTGAACTCAGTTAAACTGAGTTGGAGCCTGAGTTCTCTCAGGTAATATATTTTTGCCTTCTGCATCAGCTGCACTGTGGCTCCTGGCATACAGCAGTTTCTTGATAGATGTTATGGTTTGTGTCTGTGTGTTTCCCCAAAGCCTCATGAGGCCATGGGGCAGGCTTTTAGAGTTTGATTGATTATGGGTGTGAGAGCTACACCTGCCCTGAGGTGGATAGTTTGCATATGTAAGGGAGAGAAAGAGGGTGCTTCTGGCCATTTCCTCCCTTGTGTGTGTGCTTGTTGCTTTGCTGTGTTCTGCCGACAGGAGCTGTAGCCCTCTGCCATGTGCCAGTCTGCCTTGTAACCTACCAAGTATGGACTGAAACCTCCACAAACTGTAAGCAAAATAAACCTTTCCTTCCTTAATTTTGGGCATCAGGTATTTTGTCCCAGCAATGAGAGAAAAGTAACCGAGACACTTTGTAAGGATCATCTAACAGTGTATCCATTTCCAAAGGCAGAATTGTCCTTGCTTCCTTAAGCTAGACCCTTCCCTCCTCCCTTGGGTGATGGATGCAGTGTTCATCACTCGTGTGTGGATTCTCCCATAAGAGTTGGGGAAAATGGTTTTTTCTCATGCGTAGGGCTGAGCCGAGAAAGGACCATTTTCTTACTGAAATAACCTGATACGCCAGGATTGCACAACCACATCACAAGAGTCTCAATTCATGGTCAGACTTGTTAACCCTGGGAAGCCTAATTTATTCTTCCCTAATGCAGAACTTACGTGTTAAGCTCATTAAATTTGCTGTTGGGGTGGGGATGTAGTCAGTGGTGGAGCACTTGTCTTGCATGTGGGAGCTCTTGAGTTCAGCCCCAAGCACTGCAAAATAAATAAAAATAAGTGAAAGTCTTTGTTACCTAGAAATCAAGAACATTGTAGTAGTTTCATGGAAAACCAATTGTACAACTGGTTCTGGATTCAGCATTCCAAGCCTGTGTGCAGTCCTAGACTGGAAGACTGGGGTATCGTCCACTAAGTGTTTCTAGTACATTCATGGCAGAGAAAGGCTGTGGGCTGCAATCCATACTGCTGGGTTTGCAAAAGTTTTGGTTAAAAATTTAAAATCCTAGTACTCAGAGTCTCCTGGAAGGGAAAGAGCAGCTCTTTAAGAGAGAGGCTGATGTGCAGAAATGCCGCATGAAACAACACGCGTTTGACGGGCTTGCCCCTCTGGCACACACTGTTCACCAGTACCAGCGGTTACCAGACCGGAAGCTGTGTGGGTCCTGGGCTTTGGGCAAACGCACGGCGGTGCTGACTGTCACCAAGAGTCAGAGGCTCTGCGGTCGGCATGTGGCCCGGATGTATCCCAGATGATGGACCGGACCAGGCTTAGAACAACTTTTGTAACTAACGATAGGTAAACCTATCGCTGCAAACCGACGGTTCTGATGCAGGGTTGTGGACTTTCACGCCGGAATTGTGTTTGAAAGCGTCTTTACTCTCTGGCTATTCTCTCTGCCCCACATTTGGACTTTGCGTTTTCCTCCGCCCTGAGGTGTCTGCCCCAGCCTGCAGCCTGTAGTTCTCACCTCCCCCAGACTTAACGAACAGCACAGTGGTTCAGCGCTCTAAATTCTGATGTAAAAAGTGTGAACAGTGGTTAATATGAGATGCTTATGTGGACGCCAGTCCTCTCGTTAGTGAACCGCGCAGACAGCTGCTCACATTTTATTTTGAAGCCATTGGTTTTCATCTGCGGGTTGGCCCAGCTCAGCCAGCGTGTTTCTTGCTCTCTCTAGAGGAGTGAGTGGTCCAGTGTGCACCCGTGCTTCAGTTGTAGGGGGCAATGAATCTCAGCATACTATGTTAGATAAAATAGTTTGGAAAAAGCCTGCATGGTGCCTCAGGAAGCCTCACGGGACAGTGCAAGAGCTAATTCCCCAGATCAACACTGCCCAGGAATGTCTCCCCAAGATAAGGGGGCACCTAGGCCTAGGTGACCCTCCGTGACCCCGCCTGGGTAGTGCCATCTCCTGGCCCTAGATAAACATTGTAACCCTAAAGGAATGCATAGGTTGTAAAAAAGAGATAATGGGGGGGGGAAACAACATCTATCACGGTTTGACATGCGACCTGCAACTGACCTGGGGTCCAACAGGATGAGAGAAAGACCACGTGCCCACCAGGGTCAGAGAATGTAACATCCCAATCTGTTGTCAATGGAAACCAAAATGTATATAAGGGGAAACAAAGTAAGCCATGGGCCCCCGCTTCCAGACTGGCAAAGGAAGTGAGGGTGGCTAGCCTCAAATTAAACTCTGATTTGTTCTCACTGGCGATTGGCATCTCTTGTGGAATGTTTGGGACAGACAGGAATTTTCTGCCGTAACATTTTGGGGGCTCACTCAGGAAATTCCACAGGCAGACCCCCGCTTTGAGAAGGGCCCCGGCCTCCGGACCCTCTAGCCCTTCTTGAATGGCTTGGCGCCACAGCTGATTTCAGCTTCCATCCAAGAGAGGCTAGGGACTGCAGGTCTCAGCCACGAAGAACAAAGCAGAGTTCCACACCTCCGACTAGGTAAGATTTCAATTGGCTTTTTGTAGAAACTGGGCTTGTATTTTCAGAGACATGGGTCTCTAACTTGTAGCACCCAGATGTGGGTCTCTAACTTGTAGCACCCAGACGTGGGTGGCTGTTTGGTTTCTGTCCTCTCTCGGAGCCGGGAGGACTTCAGGCAGAGCACTGTGCAGCGCAGCCTTCACCCTCCCAGCGGGAGCTGAGCGAGGGGTGTGTTAGTCTTTCTGGCGAGTGCTGAGAAAGAATTCGGCTTTTTGTTTCGGTTCGTTGTTCCAAGCCAGTCTCCAACTCTGCATTGACAAAAATAAGTCAGAGGAATATTAGCTAAATTATCTTTCCTGGGATTTTGTGTGGTCTTTGTTTGTTTGTACTGTTTGTTTTTTGTTCGCTCTGATGCGCCCGCCTTCTCCCATGTGCTTGCGTTTTGAAATTACTGTGGAATCAGTGGCGTGGGCTGGGGGAGTTTTAGCCGTCCTCCTGCTGCCTCTTCTGCCGCTGGCAGTGGCTTCCTGGGAAGCTCGGAGGTCAGCTGATCCCGAGCAGCTGCTCGGTGCTGTGGTAATTACTGCAGCAGCGTCGCATTACGTTAGCTTTGTGATTCTGCTTGGTGTGTGGACCGAACGGAATCGCTTTTGGGGTTTCTGCTATGGGAAATTCCGACAGCAAACCAACCGTATTGAAATGCATGCTTCAGAATTTTCAGAAGTATAAGGGCGACTACGGAGTGAAGATGACAAAGCGAAAGCTTAGCACGCTGTGTAAGCGGGAGTGGCCTTCATTTGGGGTGGGTTGGCCAGCTGAGGGAACTATAGATGCCCGTGTGGCCAGCAGAGTCTGGGACATAGTGACTGGAAAGCCAGGTCACCCAGATCAGTTTCCCTGCATTGACTCCTGGCTGACTGCGGTTCGAACGCTGCCACAGTGGCTCAGGATATGTGCCTGGGGGGCCCCTGATCATGTGTTGATTATAAAAGAAAAACCCTCAGATCCTAGGCCCCCTGTGTTGCCATCAGCACCAGAAGAAAGCGATTCTTTTGTCCAGAGTGTCGCAGGGCCGCCGCCCTATCCTGACCCGGGAGTGGCACCACCCGAAGAGGAACCTGTTTCAGGGTCGCAGCCGAGCTGCGGGCGCCGGCGTGCGGATCCCATTCGTGCGGCCCGGAGGCGCCGACAGCCCTCCCCTGTGCCTATAGGGGATGGAGAGGAGGATGAAGTTTCCTCTTCGGGTAGGGCTGCAGTTTTGCTGCTTAGACAGACAGCGGTGGTGGGACAAGGGGGAAACCTCCGATCCACCTTGGTGTACGTCCCCTTTTCCACGAATGATAGTATATATATATATAGTATGGTATACTGTATTGGACCTGAAAGATGCCTTCTTTTGTATTCCACTGTCTATTGTTTCTCAGGATTTATTTGCCTTCGAATGGGAGGATCCTGAGGGGGAACACAAATGCCAGCTGACGTGGACAAGATTACCACAAGGATTAAAGAACTCACCCACCATCTTTGGGGAGGCACTGTCAAAGGACCTGGTACCCTTTGGTGAAAATAACCCCAATGTCTCCCTTCTACAATATGTGGATGACTTGTTGCTAGCTGCAGAAACTCAGGAGGCGTGTGAGGATGGGACAAAGAGGCTGTTAGAACTACTACAGGACAAGGGATATCGAGTCTCTAAGAAGAAAGCTCAGGTATGTGTTCAAACTGTAAAGTTCCTGGGGTTCACATTGAAAGGGGGAACCCGTTCCCTCTCAGCCTCTCGGACCCAGGCTATCCAGGGGCTGAAGGAACCAAGGAACCGAAAAGAGTTGAGAGAATTCTTGGGAACAGTGGGGTACTGCCGTCTATGGGTGCCAAACTTTGCTACTGTTGCCAAACCCCTATATGAAGCTTTGAAAGGGGGAAATAACCTCCCCTTGGACTGGAACTCAGAACGGAAAAAGGCATTTGATGACTTAAAGAGGGAGCTGCTGAGTGCCCCTGCTTTGGCTTTGCCAGACATTACAAAGCCCTTTCAGTTGTTCATACACGAGAGGGAAGGGATTGCAAGGGGAGTTCTGGCTCAGACTTTAGGGCCGTGAAGGCACCCAGTGGCATATTTGTCGAAAAGACTGGACTATGTGGCAGTCGGATGGCCAGCCTGTTTGCGAGCTGTTGCAGCTGCTGCTGTCCTGGTAAAGGAAGCTGATAAATTAACCTTGGGACAGAAGTTGAGTGTGTTTGTGCCCCATGCAGTGGAGACTCTGCTTCGTGGCCCTGGAGGGAAGTGGCTTTCTGGTACCAGGCTGGCCCAGTACCAGGGGGCACTCCTCGAGGACTCTCGTCTAACTCTTAAGACTATACAGGCTATTAATCCTGCCTCCCTCTTGCCGGTCTCCCTGGAAGCACCAGAACATGACTGTGTAGAAACCATTGAGACTATATACTCTGTGAGACCAGACCTGCAGGACACTCCCCTTCCGAACCCTGATCTCACTCTGTTTGCGGATGGAAGCAGTATGGTGATAGATGGAATTCGGAGGGCAGGAGCGGCTGTTGTGACAATGGAACAAACTGTCCGGTCAGGGGCTCTACCCCCAGGGACATCAGCCCAGAAAGCTGAGTTGGTAGCACTCACTTGGGCCTTGGAACTAGGGAAAGACAGATGACTGAATGTGTTCACAGATTCCTGATATGCATTTGCCACTTTACATGTTCATGGTGCTATTTACCGGGAGAGAGGCCTCCTGACTGGGGGGGGGGGGGGATATTAAAAACTCGTCAGAAATTTTAAACTTGTTGCAGGCTGTATGGTGGCCCACTCAGGTGGTGGTAGTACACTGCCCTGGGGATCAAAAAGGCAATACGATGGAAGTGAGAGGTAATAGAGCCGCCGACCTGGCAGCAAAGCGGGCTGCTATGGGAGATTTGTTGCCTGAGGCACAAATCTTGGTGGTGCCACTCCTACAACCGCCCAAGTATTCCAATGCTGAGCTAGCTTGGGCCAAATCAGAGGGAGCAATAGAAAAGAATGGGTGGCAGGTACTGCCTGGAGAGAAGGTGTTCCTGCCGGAGCACTTGGGACATTTCGTAATTCAAGAATTACACAGTAAAACTCATTTAGGCAAGACAGCCATGGCAGAATTGCTTGCTCATTATTTTTACATATCCAGACTCTGGACTCTGTGCGCTGCTGTGGCCAGCAAATGTGTGACTTGTGCTAACAACAACCCAGTTTCTCACCCACAGCGTGAACCAGGTCTCCGGCGACAAGGAACTCTTCCCTTTGAAGACATTGAAGTGGATTTCACTGAGATAAAAATCCACTGTCGGCAACAGGAAGTATTTGCTGGTGCTCATTTGCACCTATTCAGGTTGGGTAGAGGCTATGCCGACAAAGACTGAAACCTCCAGAGAAGTGGTGAAGGCATTGATGGAGTTAATCATTCCCCGGTATGGGCTCCCCATGACCGTATGTTCAGATAATGGGCCTGCTTTTGTGGGTAGAGTAGTTCAGAGCCTCTCTGCAGCCTTAAGCCTAAAGTGGAAGCTACACACTGCCTATAGTCCTCAGAGTTCGGGGCAAGTAGAACGACAGAATCGCACCCTAAAGAACACTCTGTCTAAGCTGTGTCAAGAAACGGGTGCAAATTGGGTGACTATGCTTCCTATGGCTTTGCTGCGGTCGCATTGTACTCCATACCGGGATGGGCTCACACCTTTTGAAATCATTTTTGGAAGGCCGCCCCCCTTGGTGCCCATACCGTGGGGACTACAGGAAATTGGTGCTTTAAGCTTACAACAACAGTTACAGGCGCTACAAAAGACTTTAAAGGGGCTCCAGCGGACTGTGTTAGAGCGACACCCATTTCCTCTTCACAGTCCTAGGCACGCCTACGAGCCTGGCGATCGGGTGCTTATTAAAAGCTGGAAAGAAGAGCCCCTCAGAGAAAAGGGGGCGGGGCCATATGTCGTAGTCATGACCTCACCATGCGCCTTAAAAGTTGCAGGTTACACGCCGTGGGTCCATCACACACACGTGAAAAGATGGACTGCTGAGCCCTCGCCCGCTCCGTCACCTCCCAGCGCCTGCGTACCCCGGCGTTCTGAACGGCTCAAGAAGAAAACAGATCCCGCTCAGCCGCGGCAATGAACCAGCTAATTTGGACGGCGCTGATTCTTTCGGCAGCTGCAATGGAAAGGACAGCAAGAGCCTCCGGCACGGCGGGCGGAGGAGAGCACCTCTGCAACTACACTCTCGAGCGCCCCCGAATGGACTCTATTGGACTTAGTCAGACTGTACTTAGTTCCCTACGCCTCCCCTGTGCCCAACAAACTGTGGTGTTTGTAGTTCCAGTGTGCAAATTGTGGAACCCGCACTTCTGGAAGGGAAAAGCCGACCCAGCCAAATTTCCCTTCCCTGCTTGCGAGGTACAGAAGCAAGGAATTGGCCAGTATGTGCATTTCTCTGACGACACTAACCCTGATTTAACCCTAGTCAAGGCTGGAATGTACATATGTCCAAAGGTGACAGGGGCGATTGTGGTAAGGAGAGGGAGGCGTATTGCCAGCGCCGAGGTTGTGAGACTATCGGCCTCTGGGGGGGAGCCTTCGATACTCCCGGGCATGGGACCATAGGAGACTCTTGGATACAAAGTGATGACTACATTCAGGTGTACAGGGAAAAGCGGGCTGGGTGCCGCACTGGATACTCGGAGGGGTTTTGCTTACAAGTCCGGATAGTCTTTTAAAAATCCATGAACCAGTGTGGTCCACCGGGCTCACTTGGGGTGTACGTATGCTCCTTAATCGGGTCTCTGGGTATGACCCAGGCATAATTTTCCAAATCACCCCGGTGGAGGTGACCTCTCGGAGACCTGTGGCCCTGTTTCCAGCATTGTCCCGGGAGCTACACCGGGTCCGAGACACTAGCCCCATAATTATCCCAGGAGAAAAACCCCCAAGACACCCTCCCGGTCCCAGAGACCCAGAAAACTGAACCCACAATACAGCAGGCTCAAAGGGCTGACCCAGCAGGTATGGGTATGCTGGGTGCCAAGTCAGAAATTTATCAAGTACTTAGTGAAACCCATCACTTGTTAAACCTGTATAACCCTGAATTAGTTAAAACCTGTTGGCTGTGTGTTCGGTCTACCCCACCATTTTATGAGGCGGTGGCCGCCCCAAACTCTGTGACACCCAGCTCACCCATGTGCTCCACGGAGGAGGAGGAACCTCTGTCCCTCTCTATGGTAGAGACAGTGTATGGGAGAGGTTTCTGTGTCGGGCAGGGGAAAAACCCAGTCCTCTGCAGTCGCTCCGTTCCACAAAACCTCACTTACCGAGCCCCTCAGGGGCTATGGTTTTTCTGCATGAATGGGCTATTCAAATGTTTAGATCACAAACAAAGGCTGACAGGAGCCAGGCCCTGTTTGTTAACTATGCTAATTCCCAGGGTGCAGATTATACAAGGGAACCTACAGGACTGCTTTCTGTTCTCAGAGGTAATTACCCAAGAAGGACGGGGTCGTGCCAGAAGAGCAACTCCTGTTTTGGTGCCCATTTTGGCTGGAATGACCATAGCTGGGAGTCTGGCCACTGGGATAGGAGCCCTGGCACATTCAGAGAGAGGCCTGCAGAGACTCTATGGGATAACCAACAACATAGAGCGCAATGTAGTTGGGGTTCGAAGTGTGATGAAACAATTACACAGTCAGATAAACTCCCTAGCAGAGGTAGTGCTGCAAAATAGAAGGGGGCTTAACTTACTGTTTTTAGAACAAGGAGGGCTTTGCGCAGCCCTTGGTGAAGAGTGCTGTTTTTATGCCAATAACTCAGGAGTTATCATGGAGACCCTAGA